TCTGGAGGCAAGCTGTACCCAAGGATCTGGTTTTTTGTTTTTTTTCATCTTTCAAAGAAGTACGTCCATGGGAAGGGAGAGGAATTCTTCAAGTCAGAAGTTGTAATGGTATAGAATACAGAATAACGGAGTTGGAAGGGACCTTGGAGGTCTTCTAGTCCAACCCCGTTTGAGTGAGAGACACTGAACCATCCCAGACAAATGGCTTCCCAGTCGCTTAGAGACCTCTAGTTATAGAGCACCCTCAACTTCTGGAGTTCCCACAATCAGGAAATTTCTCCTTAATTCTAGATTGAATCTCTCAGTAGAGTAGAGTAGAGTAGAATCTGTATACAATAGAATAGAATTAGAATTTGAATAGAACAGAACAGAATAACAGAGTTGGAAGGGACCTTGGAGGTCTTCTAGTCCAACCCCCTGCTTAGGCAGGAAACCCTACACCACATCCTTAATAAGCTTCATTGCTTCTTGTCCTATCTTCAGGGGCTTTGGAGGATAGGTTGACCCTTCTAAACTTCCAGTGTTGCAGTATTCACAACTTCGGAGTTGTGGAGCGTCTTATACTTGGAAAAATACAAAATACGGTATATATGGAATAACAGAATTGGAAGGGACCTTGTTGGTCAAGTAGCAGAGACTATTATACCATATTCCTCTTTGTATCATTCTCTCTGTGGAAAGTTTCTTGGCTGTCTTTGGCGAGCAACTTCCCGTCACCGTAATTTCTCAGAGGCTTCCAAAATACAGTTCAAGTTTTATGCTGATTCAGGCAGAGAATTTCCCTTGCTCAGCTGGCTGAAAACATCTCCCCTTTGCCAACTGCTTCCTGCTTAATCGGGAGCTGAAGAAAACCACCGTCTCAGGCTGCTTCGCCCAACCTATTTTTTTCGGCCAGCTTGGCATCCGTGCTGGCCGAAAGGGCACCGGTCAAGGAGGTCGACAGCACTGCAGGAGAATCTGGCACCTCGGTTTCTGCTGCTTGCAGTTCCTATCTGGTCCTCCATATGTTAGTCCTCAACTTATGATCGCAACCAAACCACATATGTCCGTTGCTAAGCGAGACAGTTGTTGAGTGAGCTTTGCCCCCATTTTACGACCTGTCTTGCCACAGTTGTTAAGAGAATCACTGCAGTTGCTCAGTTAGTCACACGGTCGTTAAGTGAATCTGGCTTCCCCCTTGTGAGAAGGTCGTGAAAGGGGATTACCTCACCCCGAGATGCTGCAACTGTCGTAAATATGAGTCAGTTGCCAAGCGACCAAGGGGATGCTGCAATGGTCGCAAGTGTGAAAACCAGTCATAGGTCACCTTTCTTCACTGCCGTTGTTCTCTTTGAATGGTCTTCCTTTCCACCTCCTATTTTAGTAATCCCAAAGGCTTCCCAGATTATTTGGGGTGATGCTGCACTGAAAAAAATCTGTACCTTGGAGATGAATAACACTGAACCTGAGCTATATGGGAATCATTTTATCGATAGTTAGAGAATAAGTATAAGAATTAGAAGTAAAAGGAGGTGTGTAAAATACAGAAAATTTACCGATAGTAAATAGAATTAACAGACTTAAATAATGAAGAGGATTGTTGTAGCATTAGACATTTAAGGTATTGGTATTAAGCTAAGAATAGATTAAATAATGAATATGATTGTAAATGTTAATTGCTGACGCTAAATATTTGTATCCAGACAACACACTGTTTAACAGAAGATGGATCGTTTCTATTAAAATAAAATAAAAACTTTAAGAGCTTTGCAAAGGCAGTTTCGCGGTTCCTTTGGAGCCCGTCCAGCTAAAATTAAAAGGCATCGGACACTTTTTTTTTTTTTTAAAACAAACTGCTGCAATTGCTTTCTCTGGTGCCAGAATTTTCTTACAGGGGTTCCTTTGAGAGGAAGACCAAGGACTTTCCCCCAGGTCTTTGAATGGAATGCTGGTTGTTTTAAATGAAATTATGCAGGGGATGTTGTCATCATTTCTGGATAGGAAGAAGAAGCATAAAGTGCTAATTAAAGCATTAAAACCCAACCATGCGCAAACGCATTAAATGAGAATGCATTAGGAAGAAGTAAAGAACGGCGTCGATTAGATTTTGATTTCAGCCGGGAGCCTGTTGCCGAAGCAACATGGAATCCTGTAGTCAGAATTCCCAGCTTGAACTGGTCAGCCGCTGTCCAAGGTGCTAGTCCCTTGGACATTGAGTTGATCTTGCCTTGTTTTCAGAAAACTAGGATTAAATTCTTGCTTAGGGCTCACGGTTGGGAAACTTCTCAAACGCCAATGGACTAAAATTCCCAGAGTTTGGGGAGTCCTATTTCACTGATGATAATGTTAATGTGACAATGATGATGATGTTATCCATTCAGTTGTGTCCAACTTTTAGCAATTCTTTTTGCCTTGTCTCTCCATATGTTCTGCTCTTACACTGTGTCTTTAGTTGCTCTATGGTCCGGCTGGTGTCAGATTTGATGGCGTCAGATAACAGAAGATAACAGAACAACAGAGTTGGAGGGACCTTTGAGGTCTTCTAGTCCAACCCCCTGCTCAGGCAGGAGACCCTATCCCATTTCAGACAAATGGCTGTCTGGTCTTCTTGAAAACCTCCAGTGATGGAGCTCCCACAACTTCAGAAGGCAACTTCTGTTTCACTGATTGATTGTTCTCACGGTCAGAAAGTTTATCTTTAGTTCCGAGTTGGGTTGTCCCAAAGATGCTCTTTCAAGAGACAACTGGACTTTCTGGTTCTTCTCCAAAGACACTTCACTTCTCATCCAAGAAGCTTCTGGGATTGTGACCGGATATTTGGGAATGGAAGGATTTATATTCCTTGCAGACAGCTGGTCATTTGCATCCTTGGGTCTTTGAGACCACTTGGAGGTTTATCTGTGATGAGAAGTGAAAAGTCTGCAACGGTGTTCTTTCCTTTTACCGCTAACTCTTCCCAACATAATTGCTTTCTCCAGTGAATTCCCACGCATGGCATGGCCAAGGTAAGTGAGTCAGAGTTTTGTGATTTTGCCTTCTAGTAACGTGTCTGGTGTTAGGGGCTCCAATACTCACTTCTTAGTCATCTTTCCTGTCCAAAGAATTTCAGCAACATCTAAAAGATCATATTGCCCATCCTTGGCTTCATCTTAAAAGATACTTTTGCTTTTTAGATGCTTGTTAGAATATAAATTTGTGAAATATCTTACGGAAAGGGCCAGATTTACAAACCCCATGTTTTGCTGAGCACGCAAGACTTCAAAAGTTTGCAAAAAAAATATCAAGTGGACCTTCATGCATAAATATATTAAGAAAACAGATTAAAATCATCTAGAGCAGTGGTTCCCGAACTTATTTTGGCCATGCCCCTCCAAAGCATCTTTAAAATCCTGATGCCTCCCCTCCCTGTGACATATAATTCTTACTTTACTCAAAAAGTGAACTCTACTCATGCGGAGGAAACGTAAAAGGCCCATTAACTTGGTTTAAGCAAGGTTCAAATTTCCCCCATTTAAAATCAGATTGCCCTCCTGTGGGTTGTGGGCCCCATGTTGGGAACCATTGATCTAGAGTTTGTGGAATCATGGAAGGGATTTTGGAAGTCTTCTAATCCAACCTTAAGGAGACCTTATACCATTCCAGACAAACAGTTCTCCATTATTTTTTTCCTTGAAAGCCTCCAATGATGGAGCGCCCACAACTATAGGAGGCAAGTTTCTCCATTAATCATTCTCACCAACAGAAAATATTTCCTTAATTCGAAGTTGGGTCTCTCTTTATCAAGCTTCCACCTCTTGCTTCTTACCCTGCCCTCAATTGCTTGAGATGCCAGCTTTTCCAAATTTTGGAACCGTAATCTTCCCATTGTTAGCCAACATATTTGGCTAATGAAAACTTGGTGTGTTTCAGCAGTTAATGTTCAAAATCAAAACTCAAATCAAAACTCAAGTCAAATCTCAAATCAAATCAAAAAGTCAACTCAACTCAAAGCTTTATTAAGATCATAAACCAGCATAACCAGTTCACATTTAATGTGGAAAGCTTAGGGCCCTCCCAGTTAATTGGCTGGAGGGCTAGGCAGAGGCAATACAATCCCCAAGGCAATTCAAATCAATTACATTACCTTCATTCAATTTGCTCAGAATATTCTCCCCCCTCTCCCAAAACCAGCGACTACAGGAAATTCAGATGCTCTTAGATGGATCTTTGAAACTCATCAGCTCTGAGGATAAAAGAATTATAACAGAGAGTTATCCTTCCGTCTGCAATGGTTGCTATGGAGACGGAAGCAAAATGTTTCCCTTTTGTAGGCAGAATTGTGTGGACCCACTGTTTGTTTGTTTGTTTGTTTTGTTTTTGTTTTGCCTCTCTGCGAGGCTTCAATCTTGTAAAAAGCACCAACAAGTCAGATCAGTTGCTAGTGGTCACCTCCAAAGCATTCATCATTCTCCATCGAAGCTCTTTGACTGAATATCGGAAAGAACGAATAAGGCCAAACTTATCAGACCTTTGATTACAAGTTAAATTCCAGCCCCAGCAAGTGATAAAGACTCCCAAAGATCATGAGAAGATCCCTCATCTTCTAGATCAACAACAACTGAATGGGAAACTGCTGTTGTCCTTCAAGCGCTGCACCAGAGAGAGTATTCTAACTTACTGCCCTCGTGTCTGGTTCGCCAACTGCACAGGGGCAGATAGGACATCACTCCAGAGGGGTCAACGTCATTGCCCAGAGGATCATGGGTTGCCCCCTCCCCTCTTTGGAAGAGCTTTATGGCTCCCGCTGCCTTAAGGAAGTTCAAAACATTCCCAAAGATTTCAACCCATCCTGGGCACCCCCCTTTTTTTTTTAACTATTACCATCTGGCAGATGGTACAGGACAATAAAAACAAGGCCAAATAGGCTGAAAATAGCTCCTATCCCAGAGCAGGAACCATACTGAATTCTACAGTATAGTGCAATATCGGGTTTTCAATTTCAATTATATAGAATTTAAAGGCTGTATGTTTGTGTTTTTATTTTTATAATTGCAATGTACACTGAAGACAGCATTTAATTTTGTGGTGCAATGACAATAAGGTAAACTAAACTAAATCATCATCCAATGTAGTGGATGGGGGAAATAGCCCTATTTACCTCTAAGTTGTCCTTTCATTGGTCTACTTGACTTTCTTAAAAAATCAAGTCGTTTTGTTCACCCCCATTTTAGCCTCACACTTTATCCGTGAGGTTGGGGGTAGTTGGCTTCCCCTGTAGCACTAAACTATGGTTTGAGTAAGCAAATTGGAGAGGCCACATTTGGATAAATTGTGTCCTGCATGAACTAGAAAAACATTCATTTACTTAAATGAATCCTACGTCAAGGCTCCTTCTCAACCAATGTTACCACGTAAACCACAGCTTATTCATTTGACTCATTCTCTGATGGTAAAGTTGAGCAGACAATTTCACCCCCTTCAAGACTTAACTTGGCTTCGATTGTGCCACCTCAGCCCTTGTTGTTCTGGTTCATGGCTTACCATGAACCTGACCACCAATGGTGCAAAAAAAACCCCCACCTTTAAGCACAACGTGGGAGATCAACTTTGTACCCTGAGCTCATGACTTCTATCTAAATCAAGGTCCTTCAACCTTGCCAATGACCAGGAAGATGATCTTCATCTCCCAGAGTTCCTCAGTCATCTGGGAGAATTCTGGGAGCTGAAGTCCACCTTGAAGTTGCCAAGATTGGGAAGCATTGCTGTAAATCATACGTTAGTGCGTTTGATTTCTGCCCAATAGGTGAATCTAGACACTTTCTTTCGCAAATCAAGGTTTACATTGGAGGATCCATTGTTTGTGAATGTGGCTACTGAGTTGTAAACTTGACAGCTAATGATGCTTTGAACCAGAATACGATTTCCACCTTAGTCCACCACCTTATCCCGGGTCGCTTAATGGCTCCTGAAGTTTGCTTGGCTAAGAAATTGGCAATAAAACAAGGAAAAATGTCTAAGTGGTACAGAATGCTCTTGTGTCATTATAAATAATTTATAAGGCATGGTGTAGTTTTTCCCCATGGTACATTGTCCAAATGCATTAATTTCAACTTCCAGAATTCACCACCTGGATGCTGAAACCCACCTTTATGGGGCCCCTTGAGTTCCCAAAATTCTCAGTGTTGACCAGATGCTGGTGGGGAATTCTGGGAGCTGAAGTCATCCCTTGTTGTAGATATCCTTCCTCTCCCACAATTCTCTCATTCTGATTAGAGAATTCTGGAAACTGAAGTCCACACGGTTGCACTTCACCTCCTACAATTCTTAGCAAATGACCACACTGACTAGGGAACTCTGGAAACTGATTTTCATGCATCTGGATGATGTCCAAGTTGGGAAAGTAGGCAGAGAAGCTGGGATGTCCAAGAACGAGACTCTCCGCACAACTGGTGGGCACCTCAACTTGGGGAAGGAAACTCATCCTGTATTCCTTAATTCCGTTAAATTCCATGGTTATCTCCAGATTAAAAAGCAAGGGCTACCAGATGCCTCAACAGCCAGATAGCAAGAGAAAGCAACGTTATCCTTGATCCTTGGACTTGCTTTCTGGTTGGAATCATTGGGGGGGGGGATGCAGCCAAATATCAATCAATCAATCAAAAATCAATCTCAACGATTCCCAGATGAGGTTGTTATGTGAGACTGAACCGTCTCTTCAGCTTCGTGAGGTTCAGATCCATCACTTAGAAAACAAACTTCTATGAAGAGCTTTGAAGAGCTTCTAGAAGAATTCTTAGAAGAACAAACTCCATGGTTCTTTTGCAAAACGTGTCCCTTTAGGAGAGGTCCTTTGCCTTGTCTATGTCCCCAAATAGAAAATGAAAGGAAGCTGCTGATGAGGACATCACTACAATTCACCACATAGAAATCAACATCTGGCACGTGTTGGAGGACATCCAGAGAATCTCCACCATTCGGAACTGGATGTAACCGAAGAAAAACCCAGAGAGGACGTCAGTGACATGGTGGCGTCCCACCATGATTCGGGAGAGTCCCACTAAGGAAGCCCAAAGGATAAGAAGGATACGGAGAGGGACGGCTAGAACCAGGTGATTGAGGAAGAACTTGGACACCATAGCAGCCCGGCTGGCGTGACCAGCAGGGAAGGCATAGAGATCCATCGTCAGATAGTCCAAAATGCCCGGGCTGACATCGTAAGGGCCTTTACGCTTTGCCATTTTCTGTAACCCGGCCACAATGATGATGTCCATGAGCAGAGCTAGGGGATGGGAGAGGAAGGAAGGAANGATAGATAGATAGATAGATAGATAGATAGATAGATAGATAGATAGGAGAGATAAGAACAGAATAACAGAGTTGGAAAGGACCTTGCAGGAAGGATGGATGGATGGATGATAGATAGATAATGTTTTTTTCTTTTGCAAAAGTTTGGTCCCCGGTGCAGCCTTTCACCATCACCCCCTTCGCCTCTTTGCCCACCGCCCGCCTAGGGGTGGCGGGCAGGGAAGCTGGCGAGGGGTGCAAGCCCTGCGCAAAAGAGCCGAACCCCCAAGTGCCCGAAGCAAGGAGAGGCGAGGGCAAGGGCAACCGGGCGTCTGGATTGCGGCGCGCACCTGCCTAGCGTGCGACTGGGAAGAACGGGCCGCCGCCGCCGCCGCCGCCTTTGCGCGGAAGGTGACTGCGGATCCAAGGCAGCCGGAGGCAGGCGCACGGGCTGCTCCGTAGGGAAAGAGAGGGGGGCCTCCCTTCTTCTCCCCCAGCCGGGGGGTGGCCAAAAGGTGGGGGCTGCCCTGAGACGACCTGCTCGTCAGGACCCCTCTCCAGTAGCCTTGGAAAAACAGCTGAAGGTGGCGCGGTTGGTGCGCAAGCCTTCCAGAGCAAGGCCGTCCGGAGATCCCCGGAGCTGGAGGAGGAGGAGGAGGAGGAGGCTGCTGCTCGTGGCTGGATGAAGGGCAGCGGAGGGACGAGCCAGCCAAGCCAGGGAACTGCCGGCGGCAGAGGCGGTCTCAAGGCGGCCAGAAGCAGAAGACGCACCGGCGCGCGGGTCCTCGATTCCTTGCGCTTGGCTCCCCCGCCGCCGCCGCCGCCGGGGCTGGCCAGACGCTGCAAGGCGGCATCAGCAAGCCAGGCGAGGCAGAGGCTGGAGCCCGCGAGGAAGAGCAAGGCGGCTGCAGCTGCCCAGCTGCGGCGTTGGCCGGCTGCGAAGGACGCGGAGACGCGCAGAGACGCGGAGGGCGAAGAAGGAAGCGCCACCGGGGAAGGGGCGGCGAGGAGAAGCCCCTGCAGGGCTGCTGGCCGCCTCCCCCCCCCACCCCCACTCCAGCGCCTCTTTCAGGTGGGGGCGCCTCCGCTTGGGGCGGGGGGGAGAACGTGGCGGGCGGCGATTGTGAGGTGCGCCGCGCAGTCACCAAAGGCGCGATTGATGCGCAAGCTGGTGGCGGCGCCGGGGACACAACGAGGGTGCCCAGCAGCCGACGGTGGGGAGCCAGCAAGGAGCCTCAGACCCGGTTTTGGACGGGGGGGGTCAAGAAAGAGAAAGTAGGCAGAAGGGGCGACAAAAAAAAACCACAAGCCAAAAGAAAACCCAGAACCCGCCAGAGAAGGAGAGAGAAGGGTCCAAAACACGAAAAAAATCAACCCACGAGAGAGAAGTTGAAATCAAACTTTTTCTGCCTGGCCTTCCAAGCACCCCGACTTCGCTTTTGGAGGAGGAGGAGAAGAAGAACGCGTGGGAGATTAGGTGGGTTAAGAGACTGGCCGCAAAAGAAAATTATGCGTGGCCGATTTCGATGAGCGTGTAAATGCTTTTTTTTGTGGGGGGGGGGGAGGAGATGAGGAGGTGGGGTCTATTTGTATACTGGTGATTAGTGGGGAAAAATGCTGGATACTTTAGAATCTCTGGAAACTTTTAAAAGAAGATCCTTATAATTTTTCACACTTTTTCCTGTCCAAAGGTGAGTAAAGGCTTGGGAAACCCCCCCCCCCAGCACAATACCATCCTGGATAATTTGGAAGGTAAATTCTGAATTAATGGCTCCGAGAGGAACGTTTGGCCTCCATTCTCTAATTATTTTTTGGGTCCTTCCTACCATTTTGCGGATGTGACTAAAGAAATCTACAAACGGAAGGAAGGGAGGACAGATGTGTCTTCATGTAAGAACTCTTCGGAGGCCTCCAAGAAGGTCTTGACTGGGCTCTCACTAAGACAGCTTGTTTCTAAAACAGTGACTGTGTGTAACCTGGACTCTTAAACAGCAAACCCACAAATTGTGACCCACCTTGAAAACTAGTACAGATGGTATTGACAGATTTGGAGAGTCAAAACTGGACTTTGGATCATTAAAACTCCTGTAAGTTTTAGCAGCCTTTATTGATTGTGGCCCAAATCTATCTATCTATCTCTCTCCCTTCCCCTCCATCTTTTTTTTCTTTTTCCTTCTTTCTCTTTTTCTCTCTCTCTTTCATCTACTATCAATCATCTATCTTTTGTCTATCTCTATTTTCTCTATATATCATCTATCTTATTATATCTCTTATTCCTCCCTCTCTCNACACACACACACACACACACACACACACACACCTCTATATATCTGCTTCGTTGCTGGAGCAGGCTGCGTCCTGAAATATTCATAGGTGTGGTCACTCGGCTATGGAAGAATATTTATTTTTTGAGCAACCTGACCTCCGATCTTGCAACAAAAATCCCTCTCCACGTCTTCCGAGGCCTTGGATTGTCTTTGGAAAGCATCTTGAATATGCTTTGCTTTTTCTCCCCCTCTTCCCCATCGTCCTGACCGTGTGTGTCGGTTTAGATTAGAGAAATGCAAGTCACCAGAACAGATTGCTTTCTTCCCCCCCTTGGTGTTTTCAAAATCCTTCCCTCACAAAACATCCTCCATTTCTTCATCCTCGGGTCCGTAAAGGAGAAAATATGGAGACTTGGAAGATAACGGAGAGGCAGTTTGGCCTAGGGGTTAAGGCACCAGGCTAGAAACCAGGAGGCGGTGAGTTCTAGTCCTGTCTTAGGCATGGAAGCCAACTGGATGGTTTTGGGCCTATCACCAGGAGGCGGTGAGTTCTAGTCCTGTGTTCAGCATGAAAAACAGCTGGGAGATTTTGGGCCAATCCCCAGGAGACTGTTTTTGTTTGGAGATAAATTTCTTTAAGAAATAAATTTCCTGGTATCCTACCCTTGAAAACGGAGGCTCGACAGACTTATCCCAATCAAAAACCAACTTTTCCTTAAACAAAATGAATTTTCAGCATCCTGTGGCCGTGAAACCAATGTTTCCCCATCTGGTTTAGAAGTTTACCTCAATCCTTGGCAGCCGGGCCAACTTGCTAATGAGACCCTACGCTGGATTTATTTGGGAGACACAGGATTGTGAGAGATAAATGTCAGTTAGTTCCAGAAACATCAAATAGTGTTCTCTGAGAATTTGCCGAATTCTAGCAGGATTGAACTACAATGTGAATTTTTTGCTTGCTTCTAGCTTTACCAGGGATTTCTGCCGCTATTCTCAAGGATTCAGTTTGATTAGTACTGTACCCATTTCACAGAAATATGGATTGAGTTTGAAAATAGCAACGCAGCCAGGGGTGAAGATGAGGAAGATGAAGGGGTAAGAAAATAGGAAAACAGGGAGGACAACAAGACTTATCGGAATCTCATTGTATAGGATTTCAATGTGTAGGAGAAACAGGAAAACGAGATGATCAAAACTCATTTCATGGACTTAGTTGTGCAGGATAAATAGGGAAACCACAAGATTATGGAATTTCGTCCTATAGCTGTCATGGCGAACCTATGACACATGTGCCAGAGGTGGCACGCAGAGCACACTCTGTGGGCACCGGTGCCGTCGCCAGCTGCTCTTCATACATACCAGCCAGCTGGCCTTCACAGCCTGAAAACGGCCCCAAAAATGGCTGTTTTCCGGGGTCCTTTTTCAGGCCGTTTTCAGGCTGGTTTGGGGGGCGTTTTTTTGCCCAAAATGGCCTAAAAATGGCCCCAAAACTGCCTGAGAAAGAGCCCCAAAATGGCCTGAAAACGGCCCAAAATCACCCCAAAAATAAGCACACTGGGCAGCTGGTCTTTGGATTTCCAGCACTCCAGTGTGCGGGCACAGGGGGGCACCTTCCGGTTTGGGCACTTGGTGCTGGAAAGGTTCGCCATCACCGTCCCGTAGGATGGAGTAGGATAAACGGGAGAACCGTGAGAATCGCGGAATTCCATCCAATAGAGTTGAACAGAATGGAGAAAACAACAAGAATGATGGGATTTCACTGTACGCGATTAATTGATTGGGACAAATAGGAAAACGGGGGGGATGATTTCCTGTGGATGCTCGGAGGAGAGGAGGGAGGGAAGGTCCAGGAAAGAGAAGCTCAAGGGACTTACCTAAAAGGAGATTGAGGAGAACTTCCTGGCCAGCCAAGGTGCTGCTCTTGACCAAGCAGATGAGGGTGCCTCCGATCCAAGGAATACCGTGCCCGGTGATGCCAATGAGGTTGACCATGGAGCGGGCATTGCCCCAGGCCGCTGAGTTGCTGGCACAGACCCCCAGCCGCTTGGAGAGGGAGATGTCGATGGCCAGCAAGGAATTGTAAGCGATGCCTTTGAAAGTGGGGTTCAGCTGCATGCAGTCTTCCTCCGGCAGCTGCTGAGATGGGCGCTGCTCCTTCGACCCCTCGCTTTGGGACGGGGCAGGGCCCCCCTGGCTGTTTGACCTCCGGGGCAGACTCCGAGGCTCCTGGGCACTTTTCAAGGGGTGGCTGAGGGAGAGGAATTCGGTCCGGTTCAAAACGTTGCTCCGCTCCCGGGCCAACCTGGCTCGGTTGGAAACGGCTGGCATGGTGGCACGTTGTCTGTTAAAGTGGGGGGGGGGAGGAAAAATTCAGCTGTGGAAGGGAAGGTGGACGGCAGAACAAGCCCCCCCTCCCTCCCTTGCTTCTCTGCCACTTACGCCCGGGGTAGCCTTGGCATCCCCCTCCTCAAAAGTCATGAGGTTGGGAAGCTGCCCTAAACTCTAAATATAGACGCCCTGCTGGAGGGGGAAACCCTGCGATGGCCATAAACATTGGCTCTCCAAGCCCACCAAGCTTGGAAAAAGAGGAGGAGGGGGAGGGAGGGAGGGAGGGGGCGGAGTAGGGAATCATTGACAGCTTAATTAGCCACTCTGGCACCTGAGAAAGGCCTGGGCATCCAATGGGTAGGAGTAGGGGGAGGGCGGACATTCAACACAAAGGTTTGGTTGCTTTTAGGTTGCTGCCTTCCCACTTTTTGGCTGTTTCTTCTCCGGGATAAAGGGATGATAAAAAAAGGATGCAGATGCCACTCCGCCCCCTTTGAAACTTCCTTGGGCTCCAGGGACTGCAGATCCCATTCTCCCTGGCTGACAGGGCTGGAATAATGGGTTCTGGAGTCCGGGTGGGTGGGTGGGTTTGGAAAGCAACTGCCTGGGGTAGGCAGCGAGGGGAATGCTTTTCTCAGCTGCCAGCAAGCTGATGAAGGGCCGGAGAAGGGAAGGGAGGGTTTCGCAGCTGTTTATTATATCCCCCCCACCTCTTCATTGTTGTTGTTGTTGTTTTGGAGTCCTTTCCATTGCAGCTTTTAAATTAAATATGAATGGAAAGGGGAGAGGGTTGATTGGGGGGGGGGAATCTCATCTGCTGGTTTTTGCTGCCAGAAAGCAGTTTTGTCAGTAAAGAAAGGGAAAAAATGGAGAGAGAAAGAGATGGGGGAAGGAAGGAATAAAGAAAGGAATAAAAAAAGGAAGGAAGGAAGGAAGGAAGGAAAGAAGGAAGGAAGGAAGGAAGGAAAGAGGGGGAAGAAGGGAGGGAGGAATGAAAGAAGGAAAAGCAGAGGGAAGGAAGGAAGAAAAGGGGGGAATGGAAGAAGGAAAAGAGGAAGGAAGGAAAAGAAGGGAGGGAGGGAGAAAAAGTGGAAAGAAGGAAAGAAGAAAGGGGGCAGGGAGGGATGGAGGAAGGAAGGAGGGAAGGAAAAAAGGACTCTGCCACACAGCATTATGATTTCAAGGTGCAGTTATGAACTGTTGACCCATTTGGAGTATGTTTACACATCTAATTCACCAGCTCAGCTCAATGCTGAGAAACGGCATCTGCACAATTTTTTCTCCCTCCCTCCCTTCTTTTCCTTCCTCCCTCTTTTCCTTCTTCCACTCCCCCCTCTCCTTCCTTCCTTCC